TATACAGGAAACTACATCTCATAGTGGAGCACCATATCTTCACTGGAAGGGCATCCATCAGAGATATTAGGATAATTTCACTCATTTTCACACATGTATAGAGACCCAATACAGCACTGCATCCCATTTAATTCACTGTAGGGGCACCAATTTGGACACTTTGTCATGTTTTCTCTGCGCTTAGGAGTACCTTTTAAAGCACTGCATCCCATTTAATCCACTGGAGGGGCACCGATTTGGACACTTTATCATGTTTTTGGTGCATCTCCTTATTTCTTGCCCTGTGCTGTGCAGTGCTTTTAGATTATTCCACGTTATCATGATTAGGACAGCAGAGCTAAGGATTACTGTCAAATTAGCTGAACAAAATTTAATGTTCTGTGTTTGTGAACAATTCACTCATAAATCCTTGGTAATTTGGACATATACAAATCATAAACTCATAAGAATATTAGAGCAGCAGTTTCAGACAGTTTTTATCAATGTAAATGGATCTTTTAACAGTGTGTAAGGATTATTGCATGAAGATAGGTGTGAAGAATGACAGATTTTTTAATTAATAATAATAATGTCTGTCATAATAATAATAACGTGCAATAATAATAACAACAACAACAATAATAATAAAGTTACATTTATATAGCGCCTTTAGCAACCCCAAGGTCGCTTTACAGGGGGAAAAAAGTAATCAGTAAACTTCCTCCTTTACAGTAAAGGACTTTTTCTCCTTACAGAAGAGAAATGTTCAGGGAAGAGAAATGTCTTTAGTTCAGATCTGAAGGAAGAGAAAGAAGAGCAGTTACAGACAGATTGTGGAAGAGAGTTTCATAGTTTGGGGGCCATGAAAAGATTCTATTTTTGCTAAACAAAGTTATGTATGCCATCCTACACAGACACAGGAGACCGGAGGCGAGCACAGCAGGAAGGTGCGAGGGAGAAGGATACCGGGCAGGACTGGCATCACAAAGGCAGGCCAGGCATCTCCTTCTAGAAATATGTCACAGTTTGGAACCTCACTTAAGGAGAGAAACCTGATGCTGGAATGCCATACCAGTGCCAGTGCAGATCTTCTCCACGACGCTGGAATGCCATACCAGTGCCAGTGCAGATCCTCTCCACGACGCTGGAATGCCATACCAGTGCCAGTGCAGATCCTCTCCACGACGCTGGAATGCCATACCAGTGCCAGTGCAGATCCTCTCCACGTTGGGGTTTCTGGCTACCAGGCCCTTTCAGCAGGACATTGGGGATAGAGGCCCAGCATATCACAGCCCACAGCTAGTATAACGATGCCAGTAGTACTGGAGGCTTTGTCGTCGGTACATCCAGTTTCCCTACAATGATGCCCAGCAAACTTAAAAGAGAATTATCTGAGATTGCTGGGTTTCCTAATATAATTGGTGGAATTTTACCCAGGTACGCCTGAAGCGCCTGATTATGCATTCATCAATCGGCAAGACTATTATTCCATAAAAGTTATTTGCGATGCTAAGCTCTC